CCGGGGCGCACCCGCCTGCCAGCCCCCTTCCCCGCAACTGGTAAGGGAGCTTAACACTTGCCCCCTTCCTCACTAACGAGCCAAGGGTGGGCAGAGACTCCCGGCACCAAGCCCTGGTAACTATCTAGAAGCAGGTCTGCTCTTCCTCACTGTGGAATAGAGCCTCCTGGAGCTCCCTCAATACCTGTTTAGGGGAGAGGCATCCTCAGACCCCAGTTTCGGAGGGTTGTGAGAATAACCCTTACCACCCGCTGCTACTGAGGAAATTCCTTCCCCAGCTCTTCCCCAGACCAGATAGTAAGAGGGGAGTCTTCACAGAAGAAACCCCGTATGCCCAAGAGAGGCAGTTCCCAAGATAGAAATAAGCAGGAGCTCCAGATACTTACCTAGTAATTTTAATTATTTACATCTGCTCACCAGGCAGCAGAGAAAGCAAAACAAGGGAGAGAAAGCAGAGGCAGATTTAGATATTATTCTTCCCTTTTCCAGTTGCTGTTAACCACGGGAGATAAAGGTAATTTCCAATACTGACCTCATCCTCCTTCATCCCAAGGAAGATCCCCCATTCCCTAATCCCAAGAGCGTTTTCTTCAGATATCCTGTGCAAGGAGAGAAGACACACCTCCCAGTTACAGGGAAAGGAAAAGGCAGATTTCGCTGATAATATCCACAGAGATAGCAAGAATTTTTTCAGAGAAAGAGATTTGCCCACCCTTAAGGACAAGGTGCACCTAGAGGAAAGAGAAGAGAGATTTACAGGTAGGGAGATTGGGGAAATTGATCTCTGAAATAATCTGACAATCGGTGAAAAGGCTGTCTCCCAGGGGAACACCCCTTTAGTAGTTAGCTGGCAAAAGGGAGAGAGGATCTCCATCCTGGGATAAAACCAGCAGTTTTAGGGGACTGACAATCCCAAGCAGATTGTTTTAATACTCAAGATCCTGATTTCATCCACAATCCCTTCGCCCTCAAAATATTTCTTGAAGAAGCTCTTGGAATAGCTGACAGCAACGCTCTGAGGATGGGTCTCGGAGAAGGCGTGTGAAGGGCAGCACCCCAGAAACCAGCACTGAAGATAATCCACCTCCCTCCAGAAAATCTTCCAGACAGAGTGAGTGACCACATTGTATCACCTCTCTATTCCTAGCTGTCCTTCTCTTTCGCCTTCTGTCCTTGTTTTCCATGTCTCTTCTCTCACTGTATCTGCTTTCCTTTTAATCTTTTCTCTCTGTTTCTAAACCTCTCCCCAGCCTTCTTTTTCTGCATGTCTTTCTCCATCTCTCTCATTTAGCTCCCTTATATGCTACATGGGATTGACCTGATTCTTTCCCTCACTTTTTAGCTTATGGGAGACCTTAGCCCTATTTAATTGTAAGAAACCTCTCTGCCCTTTCCCTTCTACTCTCTTTCACTGGTGTATTCATCCTAGGCTCAGCCTTTATCATCACCGGTGTGAAATTAATTTCTGTCATTTGGGGGTCATTGAGAAGGATAATACTGGCCAAAAAAGTGTTGAGGAGACAGGAGCAGTGATTTGTAGTGCTAGCATCCAAGGATGCACCCATGGGGTTGGAGTGTCAGTTGTTCTCCATGTGGGTCCTACTATGCTCGTAACTGTGGGAATAAAATCATTGTGCGATACAGACCTCTCTGTGCTTGGGAGCTGGGTGTACAGATCCCAGTGCTAGTACTCCAAGATGTGTGTCCTAATGTACCTAGGGGCTGTGGGATGAATTCTGGAAAGAGTGCCCTTGAGAGTGGGTTCTGTGGTGCTCAGGGGCCTGGGAATGAAAATCGTGACAGTGCTGGTGGAACCTGCTCTGAAAGCCAAAAGAAGCCATTCCGTTGCCACCAGTCTTCATCTGTGTGTTATGCTGTGTTCAGGGGCTAGGAATGTGAATCCTAATGCTAGTGCCGTGGTGAGCCAAGCTGGCTGCTTTTAGTAAATGAGGCAGATAATTTCCAGTCACAAATGAGTATTCTGACACTAACGTAGTGATTTCCTGAGAAATCGAGTCCGAGGGAGACTTCATCTCAAATAAAGCCAAAGCGGATTCCCGTAGCAGAAGAATTGTGCCTAAGGATATCTCACCTGAGATATTCCTGTTTCTGTCCTCCAGTGAGACAGCAATGAGGAAATCCAAGATCAGAGGGTCCTTGGCGAGGACAGGAACCCTTCTGGAATCCATTTGGGAGCACAATGGTTAACTGGGAGTCCCTGAAGAAGGAACTCCTTGGTGTAATTTGCTAGCAAGATCAGACAAAAGATGCCAGGTCCCTCCAAAGTGATTCCCCATTTTGGCAGAGAATTTTGACAGTTATCCGTAGCTTCAGAAGGTGCCTCTTTCTAAGGGAAGGCTGAAGCATGAAGCGTGCATATATGCTGGGGGTACTGTTAGATGCCCTCCTACCTGTTGCCCTATAGTTACGCAATCAGCCTGTTTTGAGTACAGCTGTGTTATCTAGCACAAGGGAAGAGATAACTGAGGCATTTTGGCCTTTGTACATTCAACGGGGTAACTGACTTTTCATGCTCCTGAGGTTAATTTACGTCGCGCTGCCCCCTTCCTCACAGTAATGACTTGACATTTTTCAAGTGCTTTTGGCTCTGATGGATGCCAGGGCACTTTGCAGAATATATATGCCAGCCTTACAAAATTCTGCTCTCCCACAACAATTATCTTTCTGTATATGAAACGGTTTTTTCTTCGTTATTAATGATAAAGATTAAGATTTTGTATTTGCTGCCTGAGCTTTAAATATTCATGACAGACATACAAGGCTGAAAGTCGTATGCTGTAGAGTAATTGTTATTTATTTGTTAATTGCTGACAGGGCATTTAGTGCTGACTTGGACACACAAAATTAAGACAATCTCTGCTCTGAAGATATCGTAGTCTAAAATACAGCTATACAAAAGCTAGGACATACTGATAAGTTTAAGGAAGGGAATAATTTTTAGAGAGCGTAGCTCTTCAGTGTGATCATGGTATTTACATCAAATGTTTATCACAGGTGAAAATGCAGCTTTCTCTGAGGTGAAATACTGCAGCTGTTCTGCACCATCTATTTTATGCAAAAGTATCCATAAAAGAAAAAAAGGGAGAGTATTATTTATCTTCATAAAAGTGCAAGGTACTTTATAGACATATTTAAATGAAAGTGCCGTGTCTTTAAGTGTTTACATTAAGAATGTTAAACCTGAACACCTAAAATTAGACTTTAAAAACCATATTTAGGTACCTAAGTAAATAGCCTAAGTCTTATAAGTGCCCAGGAACGTAGAGTTGACTTCAACAGAAGCAATGAAGTCTTCAACGTTTGAGTAAGAGACACTTACTTATGTGTGTATGGGTTTGTAAATTGAAATTTGGACATTCATGCTTCCAGAAGTTGACTTTTAAAGTTGAAGCAGTCTGATCTTGGCCTATGTGCACTCGCTCATCTGAGAACTGAGTGTGTGGCATTTCTCAGGTAAGCCCTTAAGTAAAAATGAAATGAGAAGATCTAGAGAGTTAGGTGAAAAGGTTTGCGTTACTGAAAGATCATGAGGTTATGTTTAAGTATGTGTTCTGTAAGTTCTTGGGTTTTATCTTGAAATCTGGTTCTGTAGGCAAGTTTCTAGGACAGAATAAGGAGTCAGAAAAGTTGGAATGAAATACAATAAACAGTTTGAGGAGTTTGTATATAATTTCCCAGTCCAAGACGGGGTTGTGACTACTGTAGTAATCTTTTTTTTTTTTTTTCTTTCCTATAAAAATACAGCTGAATGCTCACATCTCTGGAGAAGTTTTTTCTTACCCCAGAGGTACAGGTATCTTTGCTTACTACCTCCTCCCCTAAACTTCAGCTGACCTTCATATAGTAGGAGATTCAGTCTGCATCACAGTTTGGATCTTTGGCCCTTTACTTCAAGTGTCAGAAAGGAGGTATGGGTAATGGCAACGGTGATATGGACAGCTGTCCCTCAAGAGCAGGACTGAGCTGATCATCTCATTTTACACAGCCGTCAGACAGGAGTTACATCTCGGTCATTAGCAACCAAAAGATGCAATGCTTTTGGACTCATTTTTCCATTTGCTTCTCCCAACCTTGGGTAGAATTGTAACCAGTGACTTTCACGCAGAACCCTCCGTGTTTTGTAGTACTCCATTTGCAGAATCTGTTGATGAATGATGCTTCAGAATTGAAACTTTAAAAAATACTGTTTCTAGCATTTTCGGTCTGGAAAACAACTTTGAAAATAGGAGTAGTGCCCAGATTAACGGACAGCCTAAAATGGTATCTCCAAAATGTTTGAACTCTCCAGTTGTGTTAACTCTGAAGCCTAAAGAAAAGCATTTAAATCTCTGTATTGCTGGCTGTTGCACGTTGTGTTATTTTAGCAAGAATATCCGGTTGATGCGTTCAGCCTCCAAATGCTTATCATCTTGGTAGGAGTCAGTATTGCTACTTGCTATCTATTCTGCTGTTGTTGTTTCCTTCTTCCTTCTAAGGGATATATGATGAACTTAAAAATCTCTAACATATTTCTGCCCTGTACTCATGTTTTCACTTTTAAAGGCAGTCTGTGTGTGTGTGTTACTGAGAGAGAGCAAGCATGCTGCAGTATGTTTTCACAATTAATTAATTGCAAATTTTCATTTTAAGTTTGAAATGAAAATTCAGAATACTGGGAATGTTTCAAAATTTGGAGACCTCGCAACAGAGTTTAGGACTGATTTAATGTTGTGTCCTGTGGTGCTTTGCCAAGATTTGAACGAGACTGTCATTTTATCCTTCTGTCTTTGACCTGCCCCATCCTCTACCCCATCCTATTATGAACCTTGGAGTTGGTGTCTTAAACGTAGACGGCGCACAGATTTTGCTGGTTCCTGACCTTTGTGAACCCTTTTCTGAATCCTGTCCTGGGCTTCCTAGCATCCTGTCACAGTCAGGTTCCTCTCCTGCACCTTTAAGGCCCAGCATGTTTCCACCCCGCCTACTTCTTTACTCTCATTTCCTCCTACACCCCACTGCTCCTCCCAGTTCTCTCTGTACAGCTCTTTGCATCTCATTTTCCATGCTGTCCCTTTGGCATTCTGGCCTGTGGTCCTATAAGCCTAAAATGCTGCTTCTCTCTTCATCGAGCAAGCATCCCTCATCTCCTCTATAGGATTCTTCACTGGCAGGAATCCTTTCTTACTACATCTCACAGGCCCTGCTCTTACTTCCATACCTGCATTTTGACCTGTTCTTGGTTTGGCTTTCATTAGATTATATGCTTGTGGACACATAGCGTTTTTTGTCTGAGGTTATGTCAAGAACCCTGTTCTTTTTTACCACTATATAATAAATAGAATTTCGTTCCTCTGAAAATATCCAGTCCTGCTAGGCTGGGGAATGGCACTTTGTCTCCATAATCCGACTCATTCGTTCTCCCACCCTCCCTTCTCCCCTGCCCCCTTCCCTTCCTCAGGAATAGCTGGATTTTAGTTGGTTAGAATGAAGAGCCCTTGCGTTACGTTCTCGGGTTCCTTCCAGCACTTCAGGATCTTGGTTTTGAGAATTCAGGTGAACAATTTGTGCAAGGCCCAGTACCTTGTTCCTCATCTTTCTAAGCTGGGTGGTTTACTTGATGTGAAGTCAAGAAATAAGGGAATGTGTGTTCTTTTTTGGCCCTTTTTTATGTATAAGAGAGACTGAGTAATGAGGGAGAGGGGGAGATGACGAGTGAGAGCTTTTATACCTCGAGGAAAAAAATATTTGCTTTTTTGTTTTTTTACAATTAGCAATTCAAATTTTGTTTATGCTCTCTGCTGTATAAAGACTGTGGCTGATTATAGCAGAAATATGTAATTACTGTTTAAAGTTCAAATCTGAATAATTGGGAAGGAATCTGAACATTTGTGGTCACAAATTAAAGGAGCAAAGTTTCTGAATTCTCAGTTTCCCCCAAAAAACTATTGTTAAGTAAAACCAAAACAATTCTCCCTCCCCATCAGGAACTTGCAGAGAAAAATAAACAAGCTGCTAAAATACCTCTGAAATTCCCTTTTTCTCTACCTGAACAAAGCAGACAAGCTTTGAATGTAGAGAACTGGTCTGGGATTTGGGAGACTTGTGTTCTCT